ATGCTTGATACCTGATCCCTTCGACAGCTCGTGGTCACATACACTGGTGTGATTCTTCCATGTGGGCTTTGCTGCTTCTGAGCTAGATGGCCGCTTGTTTATCTTCAAGCCTTTAAAATCCCAGATGCTATACATTTTGATAGTCGGGCACCATCAGCTTTCTTCACCACATTTGCTTATGCATGTTTGTCTTCAGTGATCATATCAGGGAGGTGGGCACCCACTGATAATGATTTTTAGTTATTTGATGTCTGATAACTGGTCCCTTCTACACCTCATGGTGAGACCAAAACTCTTTACGAGAGCAGTCAGCCTATTTTATTCTTACCAAGTGGCTTGTAATAAAATCTTACTGCCATTGAGTCAATTCTGACTCATAGCAACTCTGCATGACTGACTAGGACTGCTTTTTAGAGTCTCGGAGGCTGTCTCATGTTATCAAGACATGATTTCCGGAGAGACCAGTCCCCTGGCAAAGGACATCATACTTGGCAAACTGGAAGGGCATTGAAAAAGAGAAAGACCCTCAATGAGATGGACTGACTCGGTGGCTGCAACCATAGACGCACACATAACAACAGTTGTGACGATGGTGCCGCCCCAGGCAGTGTTTCAGTCTGTTGAACCATGTAGGAGTCGGAACCATCCTGAGAGCACCTGACAACACTGCTTACACAGAACACGGGACATGTGAGGGAGTAGCAGCCCTAGGCCTTAGTTAAAGTTTTCAAATGTTTGACCTATAAAGACCTATCTTCTGACCCAATTCTTTTGGAGAATTCTTCTGAATGTGCCCTCATTTCGAATGGCATTGTTTACTTTTTGTTTGTGTTTTTGTTTTCCTGGCAGAAATTACAGGTACAGAAAATAAAAATAGACAAACAAAAACAAAGACATTGAGTGGACTTCAGCTCACGGTGGCCCCATTTGTGTAAGAATAGAGCTTTGCTCTGCGGAGTTTCCAATGGCCAGTTTGGATCACAGGTTTTTCTTTCAAGGAACCTCTGGGTGAACTCAATTCTTTAACCTTTCACTGGTGTGTTAACTAATGTGTTCCACCCAGGGACCCATTCTAAACAAAAAGAATAATGGTCTCTCTGTTTTTGGAGATTCAGATGGAAGTCATATTTATTTTGCTATAAATGGTTACAAACATGTCTTTTGACATTAAAATACTTAAATTTGGAATCATTCGGTGTTATCTAAAAATCAGCTAAAAGCAAATCTCTTGTCATCTTTAAACTTATTTTTATATATTAAAACATTACCTTTGTCCTACTGCAAAGAAATGTATTCTATTGCTGTAATTTCTTTTGAGCTTTGTAAGGAAAATTCAAAATGCAGGTGAGAAAAATCATTGTGTCTTTTAAATCATTGTACAAGTAAAAATCAAGTTGATAAGAGTACTGGGTATTTTGAGATGGCCTGTATTGAAAATCTTATTTAAAAGGTACCATAAAGGAAGACTGGTTCGGATCTCTAGGCTAACCTGTGAGTGCTAATTCCGTTTGTCTTTAGGGATCAGGCCTTTCAGCTGATTACAATTGTGAAGGAAACAGGCCTTGGTCTGAAGATCGTAGGAGGAATTAACCGGAATGAAGGTCCCCTGGTCTATGTTCAAGAAATCGTTCCCGGAGGAGACTGCTGCAAGGTAAAAGTGAGAATAAAAGCAGCAAATGAAAGAAAGAGGGAAAACCACCACTGTGGGGCCAGACTGGTTCCCCTGCTTATCCATAAATTGGTCACACCTTTTAGAAAGATACAAAAGAGACCATTAACCTCAAGCACTTTTAACCTAACAAACCAATGGGCTCCTCGCAGATACAAAAGGGTATATATTCTTGAATTCTATGCTATTCAGATCTTGTCCTGAATCTGGTTGAGAGACCGTAGATACAGAGACGTAGTCTGTCTACTACCATGAGTCTGGATTCAGTTTTAGTACTTGGACTGTGTTCATTTAGCTTTTTCTAATTACAAAAAAAAAAAAGATGCAAGTAATCAATCATTAAAAAAAACACACCCAACCTCAACCCTGAAATAAAATTCATTCATTTCTGAATTGGTGGTGAAATTCTTACTGAGGAGTTTGCTAAGTACATCATTCATTGATGCCTATAAACATTAGAATAATGTCATATATTCTTTGTTGCTTAGGAAACTCAGACCTAACTTTGAAGCGCAGCCCTGTCATCTTAGTGAACATATTGGTTACTGTGTTTTGCATTCTTACAATTGCTCTTGGCTCTAGTTGCCATTTTTCTTTTAGTAATCCGTTTATGACAGGTATTGAAAACTGCCTCAAGAGGCTTTGGGGAAGATATAAGACATACTCTTAAAAGCACGGCCCACTGCTGTCAAGTCCATTCGAACTTAGAGCAGTCTTCCTGGACGGAGTAGAGCTGCCCCAGGAGGTTGAGAGGCGATAGACCTTTTACAGAGCCGACTTCTCCCTTGGAGAGGCTGCTGCTTTCAAATCACTGGCCTTTTGATTAGCAGCAGAGTGATTAGCCACTGTACAACCAGGACTCCATATGATATAGTGTTTAAGTAAATAAAGTATCCTATTCACATCGAGCAATAGATGAGGGACCTTCAAAATTTCATTATCTTTTCATTCAGTTTTTCCTTGAACTATCTAAAGGTTCAAACTGCCACCCTGGCTGTTAGCAGCCATATGTGTAGCTCACAGCATCACCAGGGCTTCTTCTATTGCAGGAGAAGGAAGCTTCTTACCGTTAAATTTATTGTTGTCAACATTATTGTTTGGTTAAATGAACGGTATATTATCAGATTAACTTTCAGCTGATTCTGTTATAACAAGTCCCACCTATATACTTTCCTATCATCAAACTTTGTTTTTAACAAGCAGTTTAAAAAATTTCCCCGTGTTAGGAAAGCCAGTTATCTCACTAATCACTTCCATAATAGTCATGATTTCAGTCGTTTACAGTCTTGTACAAAGACACTTATACAGAAAATAGTTCTCTAGTGAGTTTAGGATGTTGTCCTGATACAGCTTTTTAACTATTGAGTTTGAATTATGTGCCACATGAGAGCGTATGTATCTAAGTGCCACAGCTGTTGTGTAAGAATAAAGCATGAGTACTAGAAACAAGTGGTTAGGTCTAACAGATTTCAAATAAAAATTGAAAATTTTCTTCTCAGACTCGAGAAGTTTAATTCTGTTTTACTCTTAAAGCTGAGATTTGTGTGTGTGTGTGTGTGTTGTGTGTGTGTGTGTGTGTGTGTATTCACCAATTCTAAGAAATAGCAAAGGTATTTCCTATAATGCACATATAATATAGTAGCTTATTCTACCAATGTACTTAACAAGTGATCAGACTTTATGTTTAAGGCAAGCATCAGTTTGTACTTTATTGATTACACTAAAAAGTGTCACACATTGATAGTAGCAGTGGTGCCGACTGAGTGACTCTGAGTGTTGTTAGTGTTGGCAAGTCGTATGTGTAGTAGATAACATCTCTGATTGCTTTTCTTCGAATGTCACCATGTTCAAAAGCTGGTGTTTTTTTTAATTGACCTTCGAAGGGACTGTATTTTATGTTTACCACCAGAGAGCAGCACAGAGTTACGGATGCTCTCTGCCTACACCTGGTCAAACCCAGTGGAAGAAATGGCTGAAAAGTGTTAGAAAGGTGTTACGTGCGTAACTATCCAGTATTTTTATTTTATCTTTTACATTTCTGTGGAATGGCCACCTTATGAGATGCATAACATTTTCTCTTCAAGTACAAAATTAAATGCAGTTTTTAAAAAAAATAATGTTTTCTTAATCAAAATTAATAGCATTTACTGTATGCACTCTAAATAATGTGTTACACAAGTTTGTAAATTTCTAATTAACACGAAATGTGTGTGGTAGGTGTATTCAGAGAGTAGGACACAGGAACTCATAAGGTCATCCTTATTAAACTGCTCAGTTGCTAGTGTGGGTTTTAAATACATATGAATGGTTTGTTCATATGTGTTCATGTACATGGAGGTTAGGTGCTGGGCTGCTCATGGCACAAGGTCAGGGATTCAGACATAACCAACCACACGCTTCGTGGGAGAAAGATGAAGTGGTCTGTTCCCATAAAGATTTTCAGTCTCGGAAATCCTGGGAAGTGGCTCAATCATACCCTATACAGTCGTGATGGGTAAACCCACTTGCTGTTCGAAGAGTTTGGTTTGGATTTGTGGATATGAATTTGCTGTATTTTTTTAAACATCACGTGGTTTCAGAACTAACAATGCAAGCAATCTCAGGTTATAGCTGGATTATATTCCCAAACAGCATATGCAAGGAGGTTATTAAAACTCAGAAGGAACTTTCTTCAATTAATCATAGTTAGCTTTCCTCCCTTCTCCCCACTCCCCCACACACATGTTTAACACCTGGCAAATATGAAATACAGTACTTGTTTCAGGATAACCAAAGTATCATGGATCTTTGAAAAAATATATATTCAGAGTTCATTCTTGGGACAACATGAACACATTTTTCAAGTTGAAGTAGGGAAGAAGATTCTGCCAGCTCTAAAAACTGGAGCCAGTCTATGCTGTTAGTTGTCACGTCAGTTCCAACTAGTGGTGACCCCATATGTGCAGAGGTGGATTGGTTGCTCCCTAGGTTTTCAGCGTGGGGGACCGTTCAGAAGATGGCCAGCGGTGTCTTTCAAGGTGCTCCTGAAGAGGGTCACAGCACCAACCTTCAGCTACCAGCCCAGCACTTACCCATTCACATCACCCAGAGACTCTTACAAGTAAAAACCAATGTACTAAGTACACTGAAACATAAGATCCCTTCCAGCCCGCCAGCTAGTCCTGCATTAGTCCCCAAAGTTCAGTCGTACACCCTTTCTTAGCCACTTCCCACACACATATCCCCATTGCCAGATCAATATTTCTATTTGACTATCTGCAAAGTATCTCCAACAGGCTGAAGATAGAAATGACATCCACACTACACCTCTTCTTCCCGTCTTTTCCTAAACAGAGCCTCCTCCAGATTTCCACATCTTGATGAGTATCACTTCCCAGTCGCACCAAGTTCAAAGAGCTAGGAATATTCTTATGTAACGCCCATGTCCAATTCACTGGTACATACTGTTGGCACGTGTAGTCTCTAAAGATCTCTAGACTCCCTCAGTCTTCTTGAATTTTACTGACATTCCCGTGGCTTAAACACTGTCAGTTTTTATCAGCACCCACCGTAACTTTGCTCTCATACACCACACCCATTGTCGTAGCCCAATTTTTTTTCATGTTGTTTTCCCCAAAACCATTTTATTGGGAGTTAAGACAGATATCGCATCATTCCATTGTCAGTCACATGAAGAAGTATTGTACAATTGCTGCCACAATCCGTTTCAAAACATTCTTTTCCTTCCTGAACTCCTCGACATCAACTCCTTTTTATCTCCCCTGCCCACCATCGTACTCCACCCCCCATACCCAAACCCTTATTCTACTTGCCATCCCTAAAGGTTCATCAATCCTGGGTTTCCTATAGTGAAAAACAGATAATAAAAATTCAAGAGGGTGACCCCAATGATAAAACACATCTGAGACAAACCCCAATATGAACATTTAAACAAATACAGAAGATGTTGAAAACTAGATCGAGTCCTTCTTGCCAACAGTCTTTGTGAGCAGGGATTCCGAAAGCATGGCTTCTCTCCTCTCCTCTGCTTCTGGGTTCTTTCAGCCCCTGGAGGAGGCCACGTTCTCTCTCTTCTCATAGTTCCCTCCACCTAGCAGCAGTGCAACCTCCACCCCCGCATCGTGCGGTGCGTGCACACGTATGCACTGCCGCCCCTGCTGCTTCTAGATAGCAGCCTTCAGTACTTCCAGAAGGCAATTCGAAGGTTACTCCCTGCAGGTCTTTTCTATGTGCTCGTAGATGCTCTTCCTGCCCGTCAAATCGGTTTGTAATTCCTCTTCGATGTCTGATGATTTTCTTACCTCCCCGTGGACAATCGGACCATGTGCTTCCTAAAGGCAAGGATTCTATCTGGTTTTATTATTTCGGCCCCCATGTGGTGCCTGGCACATCATAAGACTTCTTAGAGGGAATTTTCATTTTCTGAAAATGAACTAATGCCTAAGCGCCCTTTATTCCGATAGTGCCACTATCCGGGCTTCATCCCTAGCTGCCGCTCCTTCTTGGTCCATTGTTTTAAAACGTTCTGCACCACACCTGTAGGATTTCAAGTGCTTGTGTTTGTGTATTTGTTTTGCTCTTAATGACATAGGGACAGTGGGCAAGAATCAACGGTTTCCCTTCAAATCTGGCAGTGCATTTAATTTAGTTGATTCTAAAATAGACTTTTAAAAACACCTGAGAGGACTTCAAAAAGTCTATGGAATAAATGGAATTAAAAGACAGTAGACTTTTTTCCATGAACTTTTTGAAGCCCCCTCATATAATCCCTTTGTTACTTGTGGTGCGTGTTAAGTGCCACTTCCGTTCTCTGCCTCAGGCTCTTTTCCCACATCTATGTTTGTGGACTTATGTAACTGCAGAACACAGTTGGAAATTCGTCAGAGTCATTATTACTGTCTTGAAAAGTTATTGTATGAGGTTGTGCTTCTTGGAAGAGCAATTGTGTAAAATGTTTGCCCCTTTTTGTCACTTTGTAGCTG